CCCCAAAACCCCAAAACCCCAAAACCCCAAAACCCCAAAACCCCAAAACCCCATTAAAAATTTACAATAGAAGAAACAACTGTTTTATATAGCTAGTACATTTGATTTCTCCCTTTGGAACTTCTTCTTTGGCCTTGAGCCGTCTTCTTTGGTTTCTCAACTATCTTTTCTAGTTGAGTGTAAGGCCTCTTGACAGATAGTAAGTTGTGTGAATAGAGATTTCCAATGTTTCCAGATCGGCTTCTTGCCATTTCATATCCTCTTGGAAGTGGAGCTTTGGGGTAATTGGTTGAATTAGTATTATAGTTACTCTCTATTTTACAATTTTCTTTAGAAAGCAGCCTTGCCATCATTATATCAGAGAAGCTTTCGGAAGCAAGAGGAGGTTTTTCGAGAGATCTCTTAGTGATTACTTCCTCATAAGTAGTATTTTGTCTCTTCTGATCGATACTCTCAACTTCATCTTTTTGTTGAATGCCTACAATAACGCTTGAGAGATTCTTCTTGATGTGATCTAGTTTGTCAATTTCTTTTAGGATGTACTCAACTAGCTTCTTGCTGTTCTCGCCATGTGGTTGGTCATTAGAATTATCAACATCAGTCATCTTGCTTGTCATTCCTTTGTTTCGACTTTTCTGATAAGCATTATTATTCGCAGAAGTTGTTGAGTATGTGTCTCTATCAACCTTTTCAAATTGAAGGTTTTTCAAGCTTCTCATTGCATCACTAAATTTGGGGCTTTTCTTACTCTCTAGCAAACATCTCTGCTTTTTAACAAGAAGATTTTTGACTGAATTTGACTTTGGAGCCATGGTTGAGTTAGACCTCTTGCCAAATACATTTCTTAGATTTGTGCTCATTGTGGTGTCATATTTGTTGTTTTTAGTGATGTCATTATTTAAGAGACTAAATTTTCTACTTCAGATTGAGTTATAAGTCTGCTTCTTGTCAGAGAAAATTAATGGAGTCTGATCATTATCATTTGTGCTTCCTCTTTCTTCTGTGAATGCTTCTTTTCTAGATGTTGAGTTGAGGTCTATCCGAACATTCTTGTTATAAACAGAAAGAGGATTTCTACTCTGAGGCATCAAAGATCCTCTATGAGAGTTCATACGATTCTTTGTTTTTGGCCACATCTTTGGAGCTAGGTAAGCTGAGCCAAAATCTTTGACAGGCTGTCTAGTCAAAGGAACTTTAATCTTATGGCTTTTTCTAGTGTCACAAGAAGACCTTGTAACTAGATACATAGGGTTCACTGCTTTGTCATAAGTAGATTCTTTATCAATGCTTTCTGAGATTGCAATACTCTTGGAGTTATTGAGCTGACAATTTTTAATACGCTGAAGAGGCGATTTATGGAAAGTAGTCTTTCATGATTTCCTGTCTTCACACACAGTTTGATTTCCAACAGAGATTCCTTTGTCGCTTGCATTGCTCCTTTTAAATTTTCCTTCATTGATTAAGACATAGTTGTCTCTTTGGAGTTGATTATAAGTAAAGATGTTATTCGTCCCATCATGAGTTCTGGAGTTCATCTGATGTTGAGTCATTGGTCTCGAATTATTTTCAGACATAAGATCTACACTGAGTACCTCATACTTCACATCAGTTTTACTATTGAGGATACTAGGATTATTCTTTCTTTTATAAATTTTCGCAGTCATTTGGTTCGAAAATCTTCTACTCTCTTCACTAATGTTTTGAGAATTCGAGCCTTTTGAAGTTGATGTTCTGCTTTCTGGGGTATCTAACTTCTGAACTATTCTAGTTACTTCCTCTAGTTTCTTCTTTTTCAATGGTTTTGAATAAACTGGCCTACAGCGACCAGGAGAGATTTCTTCTTTGATATGTCTCTTCTGAGAAACTTGGATCTCATTGAGATACTTCTGACTGTTTTCTTTATCTTCAGTGATAAATTTTTGGGCTATTTTGAAAGAGTTCTTCTGGTTCGAAACTGAATGCTTCTCTGTTGAGTCACTTGAGGAATTACACGATTGGGAGTACTTCATGCTCTATAGTTTGTACATAAAACTTACAGATTTAATAGATTCATAATTTTTCTTATACTTGAGATCAAAAATGCCATCATTATTTCAAACGTTTCTCAAGTTTGTTATTAAAGTCTTGTTCTTCTTTAAGTACCTGAACTGCTCCTCTCAAGGTGGTATCATCAGATTCAGTTTCAGTGAATCCTTTTGTGAGGAAAGGAGTATCTAGAACATTCTTTTTAGTGTCAAATCTTTTTGAGACAGTAGGTGTATATTTGTCATCCTATAGTATTACTAGAAGAGAGTACCTGCTCAGTATCATCAGAAATATCAAACAGGAATTCGTCATTATCCTCGAGAGGATTTGGTTTATTATTTTTCATATATTTTCTTAAGTTTAGTACATTCATGCTCTCTTTTTGAGGTCTAGATGGTTTCTGAGCGTTCCTCAGAGCAGGCCTTGATAGCTTATTAACACTTTTCTGAGTTTTTAAACCTTTATGTTAGCAATAAAGTACCTGTAGTCTTATGAATGGTTTTATTTGAGGAATTTAAATAACTCCTTTTACTCACATAATTTGTTTTAAGCTTTTGACTACGCTCTTTATTTCTTGAGGATCCAATCATTAATGGTCTTGTTTCCTAAAAAAATTGGATAAGAAATATTTTCAGATAAGGTGATGAAAAAGTACAATTTCGGCTTAAAATTATTTCAGGGATTATGAAGTATTAATTACCATTATTGATTCGCTTTAAGGGGATGTGACTTCTTCTAGAATGAGTTAGATCCACCTTGTTCTTGTTTAAACGGCTTGAATTCAAATTCATATTTCAATAATTGTTATTTTTACCGGGGTTTTGGGGTTTTGGGGTTTTGGGGTTTTGGGGTTTTGGGG